CCGCCGATGCATCGTCGGCTGATGCGAAGAGAGAGATAGAGAGACCAAAGAAGGAGAAGGAGCGTGTGCCAGTGAGATCGACAGAGTGTACACATGCGTAGACAGACATACAGTAGTTTGTATGTACGTATGGACATGTAGGTAGGTAGATGTGTAGATGTGTATACGTATGATGTAGAGAATTGTATATATGAATTCATACCCATCCCTCCCCTCACACTGCCCCAGTGTGTCGCGTGACGCCCGGTCGTAAGTCACAAATACATCACCGACACAGCCACCACATAGATGGACGAACGCGAAATGAAAGAGCAAGCGATCTGTGGCCAGAAGAGACGAGCAGAGACGAGACGAGACGAGCAGAGACGAGACGAGGAGAGGAAATGAGAGCGAGGAGAGGAAACTGGCCTGCGAGCAGCGCCTATGGTACAGCAGCAACATGCAGACGAGACAGGACAACAAGAGAACAAGACAACAAACGAGGAGAGGGCTACAGGGGAGGAAGGCAAGGTATGAGGAAGAGAGCCGACGGCGGCTCGCGGTCGATCGATAACAAATAGGGTATGTATGTACACGTACACCTGTCATGCATCATTCACACATCCATCCATCCATCCGCACAGAGACCACTCCCTCCCTCCCTCCCCCTCCCATCATCTCTCTGGGACATTTCCGTGTGTCCCTCCCTCCCCTCGCAGCATTACCCATGCAGCCACATCAGCGACCAATCAAAACGCATCGCATCGCATCAATCCACCACACACAGACAGACATAGGCAGGCAGGCAGGCAGATAGACAGACAGATGGAAGGACCGACACGCGCTGCAGTCAGGAGCCCGCATTCACTCACACACGCATGCATGCAGGAACCCACCTAACCTGTCTGTCCATCCCTTTCCTTCGTGGCCACCAATACCACACCATACACCGACCGACCAACGCAACAGACGGGCAAAGAATCGACGGATGCACCCTACCACAGAGAGAGAGAGAGGGAGAGAGACCAATCAGAGGTACGACAAACACCACCATACCACACCACACCACACCAGACACAAAGCATTCATTCACACAGGCAAAAGGAGCAGACAGACAGAGGGAGGTAGGGAGGGATATCAGTGGACCGGCACCTTCGGTCGATCAGGTGAACTTGCTTCCTTGTCTGTGTGTCTGTGTGTTCTGCCGCGCACACCAACAGCACGGTTGACTACCGACTGCCTGCCTGCCTGTCTACCGGCGAGCAGTGCCAACAAAACCACTGTATGGCTCGCGCACAGACAGACAGACCGAGGAGACGATGTGAGACGATGTCTGTCTCTCTGTCGGCCGCTCTGTCGTCTGTCGCACTATTGCTTTCTCACTCTCTCACCCACGGTAAGGCTAAAGCAACACCGCAAACACACAGGCAGGCACACGACTCGCCACTCCGTCCATCCATCCATCCATCCCGATCCCGGGCCCTGCCCTCCCTCCCCTCACGACTGCGATAGACGATATAGGGTAGGCTGATGCCGCCTTGACATATCTATTATGAGTAGTAAGACTCGAGGCCCCACAACCCCCACAGCACGCCACGCCATACCATGTACACCAACACACAACGACACTCACACACAGACAGGAACACCGCGCCAGAGCCCCCCACCCTCCCCCCCTCCCCCCCAATGGTCAGTCCTCATAGTGGGTGGGCTGCGCCTTCCTCAGCAAGTCGATGGCGGGCATCATGCCCATCCCACCACCGCTCCCATCATCACCCTGAGGGCCACCCATCTGACCACCACCACCCCCAGCACCGCCGCCGGCCACATACCCCCCAATGCTGCTCGGGTCAGGCGCGAGAAACGGCGAGGGGAACGACGGCAGCGACAGGCCCATCGGCGACCGCGCGGTGCTGTACCCATAGGCGTATGGCGAAGGGGCGCTGTATCCCCCGATCGACCCGGCGTGTGGGCTGACGGAGGTCATGGGCGTCATGAACTCGAGCGGCTCGGTGTGTGTGGGCGGCGGGGGGCTTGCGTATCCGGTGGGGGTGTGGTGGTTGAGGTGGCAGCTCGTGGTGAACATGGGGGAGTTGGCGGCCTCGCTGGACGGCAGCGGCAGCCGCGCGTCGGGGATGGGGCAGGGAATTTCGTGCGAGGGGCTGGAGGTGGTCGAGTTGGTTGTTGTGGCCGTAGACAGTGAGGTGACGCCCATGCCCATGCCCACACCCACACCAAGACCACTACCACCACCAAATGCTGCCCCGACGGACGGGTGGTCGTTGGGCACAATGCTGCCCACACCCACACCCACACCGACGGCCATCTCGCCGTTCTCGTCGCTCCGCGTCGACCCACTGGAGGGCGTGTTGGTGCTCATGGTCACCATGAGCTGCGGATTCTGCTGTTGCACGTCATCAGCCTCTTCCTCGCCCTCGATGATGGCCTTCCCCTCGTCGCCGCAGAAAGCCGGTGGCGTCAGGGGCCGGTTGCTGACGGCGTGGCGCCGCTTCTGGGTCTTGTTGCGCTTCACGGCCACCAACATGCTGACTCGGTCCTCCTCTTGCGGACCGACTGTGTGGGGGACGCATGGCGCATCGACGCAGCGGATTGTGACCGGCGGGGGGAGACAGGAGATCTCCGGCTGCGGCTGTGGCTGTTGCTGCTGCTGCGTGATGGGTGGTGGGTGGATTGTGGGTGGGGAGGGTGAGGGCGTGCGCTTGGCGGCCGCCTTCATAAGTGGCGGCTCCATGATGGCCTTGCGTGGCGGCATGGCCATCAGCGACGAGTGGTGGCTGTTGCCGCCTCCCATGTGGTGGTGATGGTTGCCACCTCCACTGCACAAACAAGGAAGGGAACTTGTGTATGTGTAGTGTAGTGTAGTGTAGTGTGTTGCCGTGGAGTGGAGTGTCGTGTGCGCACCGGTGGTGGGTGCCCTTGTATCTGACGGGCACCTTAGGCACCTCCCGCAGCTCCAGCTCGCCGTGTGCGTGGCGGCAGAATTCACCGCTCGGACAGTAACCCTTCTTCCACTGATCAATGAATGGACGAGAGAGACGACCAGGCAGGTCAACACAACCAGGTCAACACACGAAGGATTCATCCACACGTTTGCTCGTCTCGTCGTGTGTGTGTCACCGAGAGGCCAGCATACATACCATAGTGCATAGGGAGGTCTTGAAGAAGTCGGCCGTGTGCCGCAGCTCGGAGGCCGAGTGGGCGAACGGACAGGCCATATCAGTACAGTGACCCTGAACACCACACACAACACACGGATGGATGCGTTCATGTGTTGACCGAATTCCGACTGTCCGTGTGTGTGTGGGCGGCATACGAGGTGTCGCATGGTCTCGCAGAACCGGGTCTTGGTCAGATCCTGCAGACCACACGTGTCATGCGGTGCGAGCATCGTTGTGCCGTGGTTGTGTGGCTGCCACGTGTGAGGGGCGTGGCGTACCGGCAGGGGTCTGAGCTCTTCAGGTGAGTGTGCAAAGAGACACGACGCCCCTCGGGTGCACCGCCCCCGCTCCACAAACGGACACATCTGAACACACAGTCACACAGCCGGCACATGCACCGCAACACAGTGACTTGACACGCCTGGATCCATCTCACCCCCCCTGTGACCCGCCGGCCGACCCTACCGAGTGACTCACCTTTGTCTTGTAGAACTGCAGCTTCGGCTCCTTCCTGGGGGGTCTGGTGGAGTGATGGTGTCCGTGTGAGTGCCCGGGGGAGTGGTGGCTCACGCCGCCGTATGGCCTCATGCCAAGGTGGGGTTGGTGGTGGTGCTGATGGAGGGGCTGGTGGTCCTCAAAGGGCGGCTTTGACACGTACAGCATCATGGCCACACCGCGACACTCACCAGGCTGAAATCTATGCGGTGAGATGATAGAGCGGTCGCGACGGCAGCCTTGAGAAGCGAACAAGGAAAGAGATCACTGAGCTCGTCTGGCCGCCACTCGCGAGTAGCCAGATAGATCTCCAGGTGAGCCGACGATGCACTCGCACGGTGGCGCGCGGCGTGATGCGGTGCGATGCAGGCAGGAGCAACAGCAGCTGAGCTGAAGATCCGAAAGGGGATGCTTGCTGCTGCTGGGCGGGAAGGGCTGGATCTTCCGTCCTTCGACGAACAAGGCCTACGACAAAGCCGCCTCTTGCGCGATCTCGAGATCTGCTCTCTAAGCTCGCAGTTGGATCGCTCTGACGACAGAAGCAGCGAAGATTGGCATAGAGACCAAAGAAACGTCATTGTGGGGTCAGGCAGACAGATCTGCAGTGAAAGGATGAGAGACGGGGGCGTTGTTCCCGATTCGACGAGGCCGTCAGGGCCACCGTCGCCCGACGTCAAGATGAGCAGCTTCGAGTCAGAGTCGTCCACCACGCAGTCACAGCAGGAGCAGCATGATTCGACGCCCCCGCCACCACCCAAGGTGCGGAGCCTGGATTCCCTCTACCAACCTTTGCTGGACCAGCTGCAGAGAGTGAGCAATGGACGGAGGGATGGGCGTGTTGTTGAACAAAGGAAAGACGTGTGTGTCGTGTGGCTTAATTCAGGGGCATCCCTTCTTCAACATCATCCGCAACACCGTCTCCCATCTGCAGGCGCCCACCCAGCTGCCATCTGCGAGACGCGCTTCCATGATAGGCTCCACCACCGGCAGAGGCACCACAACCAGGCCAGCGTCACGGCAGCCATCCTTCAGCCAGAAAGATGGCAAACCGCGGGACCCACAAGCCCAGAACCAGAACCACCACCAGCACCAGCACCACCAGGCCGAGTCTAAGACAATCATGCTGCCACAGCCGGGGTCTGCGGAGCATCTCCTCAGTCCGCCAAGTGTCAAGGACTACTGCGGGATCGTCATCAACGGCGTGGAGGGCGGCAGCAGACACACCGACGTGTTTGTGGACGTCTTCCCGTACGTCCAGGAGGCCGTCAGAGGCCTCCACCCCCCCGGCACCCCGCAGCAGACACTGCGGATGCGGGCGCTGAAGCGGCTGGTGCATGAGGAGGGCAGGACGGTGCGCGAGCTGGGCGTGGGGATGTTCTGGCTGGTGCTCATTCTGGTGTTTTACAAAAAGGAGGGGAAGCTGGAGGCCCTGCGGGGGCAGAAGCAGTTCTGGGAGATGGCTGATGAGTTCAAGCTGTTCCGGGAGAGGAAGCTCAAGGCCCTGTCCGAGCTGAGAGCGCCGCTGCCAAAGCACTGGGTGAGTCAAAATTTGGCTGTCTGTCTGATGGATGTGCTGTCTCTCTCTCTCTCTCTCTCTGTGTGTGTGTGTGTGTGTGCGTGTCAGATGCAGTTGGTGTCTCGCATCGGCACACTGAGCCAGACGCTGGCCAGTCGGCGGCTGGCTTCCCTGATGCCGCTCAACACGAGCGGCGCCACACAGCCTGCGTCTGCTGCCACTGCGGGAATCGTTTCCTACTCAGAGATTAGAAGGGGCGTCAGGCTGCAGGTACACATGAGGACAGACATCAGGAATGCTTTCGGGCCACAGGCATCGTCTCGTGATGCTATGCTGCAGACGTGGGTCGCGGATGCGTTGCCGCCCATATTGTCCCAGGCACTGTATCGGCTCTTCACCGCCCTCTTTCCAAACGACGCGGCCGACATCGGCGAGGACTTCTTGAGAGCTCTTGACAAGGTGGGTTCCCCGCAGGCACCCATACACACTCTTTGCGTGATGTCTCCTCAATTAGATAGTTCACTTCGAGCTGACCGGTGTGCGGCCCTCCGATGCCGCACTTGCAGAGCTCAGGAAGCGGCTTTTCATCGCGCAGGTGATATCCGCCCCCCACCTCAAGCCCATGCAGGCCCACGACGACGTCCAGCAGCAGCAACAGCAGCAGCAAAAGGGCAAAGAACAGGCGGCCCGGCTGATGCGCGGCAACACCGCCAGCATCATTCAGTCCACCATTGCACCCCTCGGCTCGTCCGAGCAGCAGGCCGCCCGTTCCAGCATTGAAGGCTCAGCAGCCGCACCAGGAGGCCCGTTTGAAGGCACCTCCCACAGGCCCCTTTTCGGGGTGCAGCTCGAGTTCGCGCAAATGGACCGGCAGCCGCCCAGGCTGGCGATGCGGGTGCTTCCCATCCGTGGCGGCAACAAGAGCAGCCCCATCCTCACACACATCCAGGAGGACCTAGCCACGAAGCAGGAGCTCTTCTCCGCCGCCCCACCGCCCCCCTCTAGCTCCCAGAAAAGGACCGACACGTCGGAAGAGTCTGAGCAAGAGTGTCCGGTTGGCTACCGCGGCAGAGTGAAGCTGCGGACCAAAGCGACAGAGGACGCATTGCCCAAGGTGATCGGCTTGGCGGATGAAGATGGCGGCTCTGATGGGGACGGGGGAGAGAGCAGAGGCAGAGCAGCGTCTGCACGTCAGAGGGAGAAGAAGGAACTGGAGAGGGAGATCGACACCACAGGGGACGCGAGAAGCTCTTCGGGTGCGTCTGAGGCGGGCAGAAGCAGACGACAGGTGTCAGAGGCGCCGGCAGTGCACACCCCTGTGTGGGGCAGGAGCCACCACCACGCCGTCCTCATGGTGGGCCACCGCAGCGTCATGAAGCGGCAGACACCCGCCAAACACTTCAACGCCCCCCTCTCACCCCGCCGCCCCTCACAGCAGCCAGGAGGTGACGACGGACAGCACACAGAGGCGACAAAGTCGCAGAAATCCACCGCACGACGGTCGTCCCGCCGGCACACCGCCGCCCCTCAATGGGAGGCGGCTTTTTTCTCTGGCCAGAGCGACCCTTTGGACACTTCACCGACAAACAGAAAGGCCGTTTTGTTCTTCGATGAAGGAGTAGGACAATCGGAGAGAGAGGGGGCAGATGGGGGAGAGGGTGGAGAGGGCAGAGGGGATGATGACGAGGCAGCTGAGACGGTGACGCTGGACGAAGCCGCTGCGAGCGGGAAGGACCCGTATCAGGACTACCTGGCCGTGTGCCCCTCCCTGCTGACCCACAACATATCCCCTGTCCTGGCGCAGCTGCTGCGGCGGAACCCACTGGAAACAGCGGGGGCCAGGAATGTGGCCGCGCGGTTCATCGGGTGGGAGACACGACCGCATCCATCAATCTGCGTCTGCATGCCTTTTTGTGTGTCTTGATCGATGTGGTTGCAGGCTTCGCGGCTGCAACAGCGCCCCATCCCTCCCAATCGCCCTCCCGGCAAAGACCTCTCCCTCACACCCACAAGCAGCTGTCACGATCAAGACCCACAAGCCGCCTCTGCCTCCTGTGTCACCCAAGGCCCTCCACACGGCCGCGACGGGCCACTCCTCGTCCCTCCACCCATCATCAACGGACACCACCGCACAATCAGCACAAGCACCACCACCACCAGCAGCACTGCCAGCCAAGAAAGGCGCCGGTGCCGGAATTGCTATGGACCGGTCGCCCACAGGCCACCATGTCCACCACCACCACCAGCACCAGGTGCAGCGAGGTGGCCGGCGTCGGTCTGTGCTGGATCAGGCCGGGGGCACCTGGGCCGAGTATCTGAGAACTCACGACATCTACGGCAACCCCCGGCAGCAGCACGACTTTGAGCTCTACAAGCGGGAGGCGGCTTTGGTGGAGAGGGAGGCGGAACAGCTGAGAGACAGGAAGGTCGTGCAGGCGCATGCTGACCTGCTCAGGTGGGGGTGGTGTGTGTGGTGTGTGGACACATGGGGGTGTGCATGATGGATGTGTGTCTCTGTGTGTGTGTGTGTGTGTAGGCGTCAGGCAGTCCGTGATCGGCTTGCCATTTTCAACAAGAAGCGGGACGAGTGCGGCCACCTGCCCATGAAGCTCATACCCACCAGATGAGCTGCCATCTTTTCTTGTCTGATCGCACACGTGGTGATTCGCTCGATGGATGGATGGATGCATGGCTCGGCCATGTTTGTCCCGTTCCATGTTTGTCCCGCCATGTGTATCTTTCCTTGAGTCATGTACACACGACGGAGGAAGGTCCCTCTCACTCACTCAGACTCGCACGCTCTGTGTTGTGTCTGTCTCTGACTTGACTGTACACACAGACACCCCTCCCGCCCTCTCTCTTGGTCGGTTGATTCAATTCGGCCGCCCCGCCACACGGCCAACTCTCAAAAAGCTCATACATACAGCCACACACCCATATACAAAGACAGACACCCAGCCGGCCAGCCGCAGACCATCACACATCAGAACGCATAACACAGCGCACACCCGATGAAGGCATGCTGCGCTATGCTGTGCTCTGTGCTGCGGAGTGTGGCCGGCCGTCGGTCGTCATCTTTCACTCATCACCATACCATGTACATGTGTCATCGTGTGTTGGCGGGCCAGCCTCCCCCTCTGTGGTTGTGGTTGTTGGGTGCGGCGGGCACCACCTGGGTCGCGCTGCCCGTCCCCTGGCTGCCATTCAGGTCAACCAGGAACACACCCTGATAGACACACACAGACACCCACACACAGAGAGACAGTATGCGAGAGTGAGAGAGAGAGTGTGTGTGTGGTGGCATGAGACCTCTGCCTGTGTGTGACCTACCGTACCTACCTCGTCTGCGCTGAAGGCCACGAGGCTGTCGGTGGCAGCCATGTGGTACGACCAACCTGGGTGGGTTAGTCACATCCATCCACACAACAGTGATTGCACCCGGTAAGGTGGGTCCGTCTTTGTCTTTTCTCTCTCTCTGTCAATATCTACCTACCGAGGTCGAAAGAGCACTGCCGCAAGGTGACTGTCTTGGTGCACACACCTACACATAAGCACCAGCAGACCATGATCACATCACCTGCATCCCGCCGTGTGAGTGTATGTGCCTCCGTACCTCTCCTTGATTTGGTGTTGGTAATGTCCCATATCTTGAGTGTGCCATCGTTTGAGACGGCGGCGATGCGGTGTTCGTCACAGAAGGCGATGCTCACAATGTCACCACGGTGACCGCTTATCACGTGCTGCACCATCACACCCATCACACAGACGACAATCGTCCACTGGGTGCTGCTCCCCTCCGCGTGGTGTGTGTGTGCATGTCATGTGTGACGGTAACTTACGGTGTCGAGGTTGGTCTTGTAGTCAAAGACCACTATACACCGCCCCTCTCGCACAAACACAATGCGACCATCCCCCTGCACAACAAAATTGACACCATTCCACCGCCCTCTCTCCCTCCCTCCCTCCCTCTGTCTGTCTGTCTGTCTGTCTGCCTGTCTGTGTGTTACCCATAGCTTGAGCTGCGTGACGACCCGGGTCCTCCGTGGCAAGTCGCGGACAACCAACCGCTGGTGCCTATCAATCAGCACACACACACACACATACACACCCGGTGGCGAGCTCGACTATGGTTCTCACTCACTGTTCTGGCTGCAGCAGCTGGATGCTCGGCTGCTCGTCAGGCACCGCCGAAAACAAACTGACCGCGGCCATTGCACCCCACCCACACCACAACACACCCAACACACACACACTTTTCGTTGATTTGCTGCACGTGTGTGTGTGTGTGAGGTGGGGGCGGGGCGTACAGGAGGTTGGCTCCGTTCCAGTCGCACGGTGCCGTGTATCGGTCCTGCAGCTTCCAGCCGAGAGAACGTTGTGAACCGTCTCTTAGGTCAGACACCAACGTCACACCTACACACACACACAACACATACACACACATACAGGAGATCTCGAGGAAAACCACCCCTCCCTCTCCCTCCCACCTCTCCCTCCCATCCCTCCCTCTCTCACACACCATTAGAGAGCACGATGACGTTGTTGGCCCTCTGCAGGACAAACCTGACGGACGCTGCGGCCTTCTTCTCGAAGGCCATCTCCTGCGGCACACCGCCAGTCGCTGTCAGCGCCCGGGGGTACAGCCGACACAGGGAGTCGCCCACTGTCACAGTGATGCAGTGCTCGGTGAACCACACCTGGATGACCACAGAGGGAGGGAGGGAGGGAGGGAGGGAGGGCGGGGGAAAGCACATAGAGATCACCAGGGTTTGACACGTTGTGAATGGGCTGACCCCACCCCTCTGACGGCGTCTTCACTCCAGGAGCAGATAACGAGGTTTCGCCCACTGTGAAGCCCCTCAAAAAAGTGAGCCACCACACGACCACAGAGCGTTCCTGAACACCCAAAAGCAGACACAGACAGACAGACCCACGCACTGCAGCCGGTGACCATTCCAGGCGTCCGTGTTTGGCCTTGTTTCTGACCTGCGCAGCATCCCTGTGACGTGAGGAATATGGCAGACACCGGATCACCCCGCAGACCCTCGAACAGCAGCCGGCAAGACATCGATGCCCACCAAGTCAGCCAAGGGGAGGGAAAGCGGCGGTCTTTCGCTCAGTTTGCGATCAAAAGCCATGCAGGCGTGGAGCGTAAGCGTGAAAGCATAGCCTGCCTCCACCTTCTTCTCCGCCCGTATGCTTAGGGTGTCGCGAAATCGCTGAAGAGACAACCCCGCAAACCCTACTTTCTTTTTTGAATTTTCCATTCCACAAACTAAGTGTACGAGGCTCAGTTGGGTCTTTCATTCGACGCGCTGACGCCCATACTCGGCACGTCACCATACCCACAGCACCACAGCATCGCCTTGGCGTGTGCGCGTCTTCCGGCGCTTCGGCCGAAGTGGTGACGAGGTGCCAAGGGATGCCACACCACAGCAATGGCCAGCGCATCCATTGGGAACGGCACCGGGGCGACCGAGGACCGGAGAGCACATGGCCTCAGCCACTGCGGCACATACTTGTGGCGCCCGCGCTTTTCCTGTGAGACCCCCCGCAGACGACCTGACAGCTTCGACATGTCGGCAGCACGGACGTTTCCGGCGAGGTGGGGGGAGGCCTGGTGGTTCGAGGGAGGCCGGCGGGATGAGTGGCGGAGGGGCGTGGTGGTCGTGGTGGGCACCATACAAGAAAACGTACCTCCAGGGCGCCCTGTGGGACAGAAAGGGCAACGGCAAGCGCGGGCGGCACCGTTCGACCTGTAGCTGTACTAGGACACAAGAGACCGACGAAGAGTCAACCGCGCTCAACACAGCACCAAACGAAGCCAGCCAGCGCAAATCCGACAATCCGTTCGAATCGGGGCGTCTCTCTGAGGAGCGAGTACGAGTAAGACATCCACCATACGCCACGAAAAGACACACAGAAATGCATCGATGCACCTGACGAGTGCCCCGTGCAATGCCTTTTGCCTTGCCTGCAGGTCCTCCGATCTCGAGGAGACCGTCGATGAGACACTCAAGGTGGAGGAGTACACCGACGATGAGGCCTCGGACGACGAGGAGGGCGATGAGGCGATGGAAGAATGAGCCCATCAATCACACCAGCTACCCTCTACACGGTGTCGCTGATCGCTGCTGTGGTGGGCGGGTGTTGTTGGACCAGAACGAACGAGAACAAGTGTGCGCCCGTTTGTCGTCGTCGACGAAAACTTCATCAACTGGGGGATGTTTACCGGCGAAGGCAGAAGCTGCGCATTTCTCATTCCCAGCAGACGACCTGACTACTGCAACACACATGTCGATGACGTACACATTCCCGGCGAGGTGGGGGGAGGCCTGGTGGTTCGAGGGAGGCCGGCGGGATGAGTGGCGGAGGGGCGAGGTGGTCGTGGTGGGCACCACCAACAAGAAAACGTACCTCCAGGCCACCCTGTGGGACAGAAAGGGCAACGGCAAGCGCGGGGAGTTGATAGCGGGACCCTTCGATCTGGACGAAATGGATATCGACAAGTTCGAGTAAGACATCCATCCACCGAACGCCACAAGGAGACACACAGGAATGCATGCAATGTGGATGCACCCACCTGACGAGTGCGCATGCATGCATGCCATGCTTTTTCTTTCTCTTGCATGCATGCATGCAGGTCCTCCGACCTCGAGGACGCCGTCGACGAGTCCCTCAAGGTGGAGGTGTACACCGACGAGGAGCCGTCGGACGAGGAGGAGAGCGACGAGAGTGATGCCGAGATGGAGGACGCGAGCACCGGAGCCGAGGAGGAGGACGACTGATCGGTCGACTCCATCGATGACACCACACACAGAGACGACAGACAGACATACCACAAGAGGGTGCTCTGGTGGGGCGTAGAGTGCGTGTGCACACGTGTAGGTAGATCCATCCGCCTAAGTAAGGGACAGACACACAAGTGCAGAGAAGAAGGGGCTAGCTGCGACAATCCCACATATCCTTCCTAGTATTCATTCTACCGTCAGTCATCCCCGTCTGTCTCTCTTTCCGGCTAGTTGGCTCGCTCTTTCTGCCATCCTCTCCTCTCTCGACGTACAGATGGATGGATGCACACCAAGGAAGGACTCACTCATGTGTGTGTGGGCTCGTTCTGTGAGTGAGACTCTGATGATGTGAGTGAGAGTCTGAGAGTCTGTGATAGAGTCGGAGGACGACCGACTCTATCACACTCAGACGACAGACAGATATACCGGGGGTGGGGGGCGTAGAGTGCGTGTTGCTTTAGGCAGATCCCCTCTCCGTCTCCGGAAAGCTTTCCGGCTATTGGCTCTTCCTGCCATCCTCTCTCGACAGATGGATGCACACGAAGGACTCAAAGAGGGGAGAAAAAGTGAGCCCATGAAGCACATCAAAGAATCATTGCTGCCTGTATTTTATATTTGCCGAGACGTGCTGACCTATTGACACGCGGACGTGGTGCGCGTCTATGTGTGCGTCGGTTCACGATCTGGCGGACGTTGGCTGGCATGAGACACACCTTGGCCCAATTGTTGACCGACAAACCACCTCGGTGTGAGTCCTTGTCATAGTCCTTGTCATACACACACACACACAGTCCCTTACTTACACACACACACACACACACGAACGACCAGGCATAAATGCATGCAGATATGCATGACGATACCCAATCAACCCATACACACACACACACACAGCGACCTGCTCCTCTCAAGAATTGCGAGCCAACCAACCATCAGAGAGGAGAAAAATACCCCCCCCCCCACACGCGCATGACAAGACAGAGAGAGAGAGGGGCGGGGCGGCTTGCTTCGTGACACCAGGCAGTCACTCTGTCTACACACTGCCGCTGCACTGGATCAGCCGACCGACGCAAAAATAGCGGCACAACTCCATCCATCCATCCATCCATCGCGTCTCAGATACCCCTAGCACAGCAGCATTGTGGCAGAGAAGAGCACCTGCCTTGATGTACTGTATGCCACCCCCTGAATGACCCTTTTCTACACTGATATCACAGACAGACAGACAGACAGCCACAGAGGTAAGCGGGTTCAGGCAAAAACTCTCACTGAGCATCCGAGCAGGCCATCCATATCTCTTCTGTATGGTCGTCCCTTTGGGAACTGTGACCATCAGAACATCACCACATCACACAATCAAAACACACCGCAGCAATACACTACACGGAAAAATCCCACGCCCGCCCCACTCCCGCCCCATCCCTCCCTACACTGCACAAGAGGCAAAAATCGCCAGTTCGTTCACACACATGATCCCTCCCCCCCTCCACATTCCCAGCCCATTTCATGCCTCACCACAGACGCTCGCTATCGAGCCGTTGACCCCCCCACCGTTGCCACTGCCACTCCCACTGCCACTGCCGGTGGCGTAAACCGACGCCCCCTCGCCCTCCTGTGTCGACACATTGCCATTGGCGGCATCCCCGCTGCTGCCGCCGCCACCGCCCGATTCGCTCTCCTCCTTGACACCTGCACCATTGGCAGCGTCACCGACGTCATCACCAGCACCATCAGCAGCATCTGCGGCACCATCGGCGAGCCACATGGGAGGGGACGGGCTGGGTGAGGCGGAGGGCTCGGGCGCTTGGTGCGACGGCTGGTGTGTGTCGCGTCGGGTGTAGTATGGGCTGAGTGTGTTGGAGAAGTCGAATGGCGGCTGTGAGGGGTTGGATGGGGGGAGGTAGGGGGGGAGGGAGGGGGGGTAGCCGCCATACGGGCTGGGCACCACGCCGTAGTGAGGGCCGACAGTACCGTAGGTGTACATCCCTGACAGACCAACCAGACAGACATCGGACACACACGGCACGGAGGAACACGGCCACCGTCACACAAATGGATCCACACCCTCTCTGTGTCTGTGTATCTGTGTGTGTGTGTGCGTGTGTCTTACCGTCAGAGTGGTATGGCATTTGGTAAGGCCCGGGGCGACCATAGCCCGCATGTGAGTGTGGCAGGTGGTGTGGTCGGTAGCCCCCCACACTCGGCTGCCCATACCAGCCCCCGCCACCACTGCCAGCGCCAGCGCACTCATACCCCCCGCCCCCCATGGCGCCACCGTAGCCATAATAGCCCCCGAACGACCCATCCATCCCCCCAGCAGCAGCAGAATGCGCAGGGTGCGGATATGGCACATAGCCGCCGTGATAGCCATGCATGCCGCCCATATGCATGGCCGAGGGATCTGCGGCCGTCGGTGCTGCTGCTGATGCCGCCGTTGCCGCGTCAACGTGGTCGCTTGCTGGTGGATGTGGTGCCTGTGGTGGTGGTGAGTGTGGCGCCGACCGCTGCCCGCCGCGCGACCGAGCTCTCTTTCGAATGGCCGAGGGGAATCTGGGGTCGGGTGGGGCCTCTTGTGTGAGCTTGTCGACGAACTTCTTGAACTCGCTGATGAGCGTCGAGTCGCTCTCCAGCAGCTGCAGCAGCTTCAGACGGTGCTGGTAGTCCAAACTGACAGATGACACAACACATAACACATAAGAGCATGCGCTTGCCGACGTCTGTGTGTGCGTGTGTGTGGGGGTGGGGGGAGGGTGTTCTGGGCTTACTTGACGTTGGATATGCATTCCTCCGCTTCTTTCAGATACTTGTTGGCGTCAGAATACCTGCAGCCAACAGAAGCGACACAACCCAACACAACACATCCGCCATGCAACAACGGTCAAGTTGCGCTTCTCTCTCTCTCTCTCTCTCTCTCACACACACAGACACACACACAGACAGGCACACACACACGCAATAGTACCGTGTTTGGCTCCAGTTGACCATCTTGCACACCTCTGTGATGCGCATGGTGTGTGTGGCGCGGTACTGCGCCACCGCAGCCAACCTCTGACGCCAGTCGCCCAACGCTGCAGAGGAGGAGCAATGACAAGACCAAACAAAAACAACACGTACAAACGCATCCACACAGAGGTCACCCCGTCCCCTCCCTCCCTCCTTGACTCACTTGAGCATCGTTTAGCCACTTTCTCGTCCAGTTTGCCCTCGTGGTGCGCGTCTGCCGCCGCGCCATGGCTGTGCGTCTCATCGTCTGCCTGCCGTGACTGGGGGGAAAGTGCGTCCGACACTGCGGGCTTCCTCAGCTTGGCCGGGGACGATGGCACACGGTTGTCTGGAAGAAGGGAACAGGAGAACAATGCTTTGTGCGGGTTTGCTGCCTCTGGATTTGAGTCTCTGCGTACTCCTGATCTGCTCTATGACGGCTGGGGCCGTGTCGACACACAAAGACTGGCCCGATGGCTGCGATGGGGCCAGCGGCGCAGACGACATGTCTTCGCCCGCCACCCGCTGCACACACACACACACACACACACGGGAACATCTTGATTCGGCTTGCTATGCCTTTTTTGTATAGTTCCGTCACTCACCTTCACGCCATACGCCCCGGTATGAGTGGCGTCTTCTTCAACCGCTCCCTGTCGGCGACTCTTCGCCCCCTTGCGGCCCGCACTGCCCTCTCTCGCCATCTCTGCATCGCCCCCTGACCGCTGAGAGGACACCACGGGCACCTTGGCAAGCTGCAGCTGCACGAACGGCCCCAGGCTGTCCTCCTGCACCTCGATCCACTCACAGAAGGCCGTGATGCTGCCGCTGCTGTCCGGGCTGCTGGAGGTGGTGGAGGTTGACGGGCCGGCCGCCCCCTTGACGGCTCGCTTGGTCTCGCGGAGTGTGGCCACGTGGCCCTGCCCATCTGGCGCGGCGCCGTCAGCGGCTGTGTCGTCTGTGCTGCTCGCCACTGGTGCGTCCTCGATCCCCATGCTGTTAGGAAGATACACCTTGTGGCTTCCTAAGTCACAGACAGCACAGGAGAGGCAGACGAGGACACGTCAAGCGTCAAGGCCCCCGGCTGTCTTGATGTCCGTGTGCATATTACTACTAGTGCGGTCACTCACCCTGCTGCAGCCGCAGGTGGCCCTCCTGCAGCACTCTCAGACAGTCAGCCAGTCTTGCCAGCTGTGGAACGAACCTCCCGCCATTGCCGCGGCTGCTGGGCGTCTTGCCGGACGCCTCACTGTCGCTTCCCCGGCTCGAGTCGCTGACCGCCGTTTGCTCATCGGAGTCGGGGGAACACGAGGGTGAGGGCTGGGGAGGGGCCTTCCTCACGACCCCCCGACAAGCAACCGTCCCGTGGGCACCAAAGGACAGCCCACGCGAATCGTCCCCAAGCGTGAAGAGGATATCAACTGCACTCACACATAGCCAGACAGGCAGAGGAAAGCCATTGCTGTCGTTCGACCACACGATCACGCAGGCGTGGGTTTCCTCTCTCGATGGGCTTACGTGCTAGCTCTCTCGCCTCAGTCATCTCGAACTGCACGAACAAACTGAACTCACCTCGGCAGTTCTCACCATGCAGCTCGCAAAACTGGTTTCCACTGGTTTGGTCCTAGCCCGCAGCAGGGGTCGTGTCTCACAGCTCCATTCCGCCAAGATCTCGACGCAAACAGAGGGAACGAAGCTGCACTTCTGGTCATCTTCTCCTCGGCTAAGCTTGCAGACGCACAGGCGCAGAAAAAGGGCAACAGGTGAGAGAGGGCTCAGGAACGACACACAGACAGCGAGCAGCAACAAGATCTGACGCACGCATCCTCCTGCCATTTGTGTGTGCGTCAGCATTCGTTGGTCTGGTCGTCTATGGAGCCCTTCACTCGCCACGAGGCCCTCTGCCGGCTGGACAGGCAGCTACTCGGCCCGATGGAGCGCCTCGAGGCAGAGCGGGCAGAGATCGCATCGACCTACGACGTCGGCAAACTGCTGACTGACCACGGCGCCTCCGACCCATCGGCGGCCTCTGGCGACGACCTGCTTAAGCTCAATGTCGGCGGGAGCCACTCGTCTGTGCGCCGCAAGCACCTGACGAGCGTCGAGGGCACACTGCTGGCGGTGCTGTTCGGTGGCCGATGGGATGGGCGGCTCATTCGTGATGCGGAGAACCGCGTTTTCATCGATGTGTGTCCACGTGCGTTTGAGGCGATGCTGGAGGGCCTGCTGGAGGGCGGCAAGGATGCGTTGGACCGGCTGATGGACGAGGCAAAGACGAGAAACTACCAAGGTAATTAGGGCGCATGCAAACCTTCTCCTCTTGTCCACCTGCATGTGTGTGGCCGTTTGTGTGTGTTGTGTGCAGGCGCTCACGACTTCTGGACAGCAGTGCTGCTGTCCCCCATCGACAAGCCATCCACCGACGCATCTTCGGCTGCACAGGGCCACTCGGAAGAGCCTACGGTGACATCGCACGGGCTGCCGGCAGAACTGAGAGGGGTCGTGGCGGAGGTGGAGAGCTTCGTCAAGACATTCGCTGCAAAAAAGAAGGAACTCGACGGCGAGCGGGCGGCCAAGAGGGGCGCATACGACCAGACGATGATGGAGATTACGGTGAGAGAAAGGAGGACAGCCGAAGCACACGGTTGTCAATGGGTGCGTCCGTCGGTCTGTCTGTCCGTCTGCCTGTCAGGCCGTCGTGCCATTTCTGGCGCCTCTGAGAGGCGGTGATGCCATTCGGTCTGTCGACGTGTGTGGCCACCTTGTCTCGACGGTGCAGTCCACTTTGGGCGAAATGGGCGACATTGGGCTGCACAATCGATTCGATATGTGAGCAGCACACAGAGCACACAACCACACGGGCATATGGTATGTGTGATGTGTTGTCCTCCATCAGGTGGCCGGCTCCCATTGAGGATGTGCCTGTCGACCACGTCCGCCGTCTGGTGGACCACTACCGCCGCAAATGCCTCGCGGCCTCACTGCCCGACACGCACCTGCTGGGCGGGGTGCGAGTGCCGCTGCTGACGGAGAGGGCCGCCCGGCAGGAGTCCTTCAACAAGACAGCACAGATGTACGGCGTCGACACGGAGAAGTAAGCGTGTATGCGGCAGGTGTCTGATCCTTAGTCAGCCGACGTGTCGTGCCTGCCTCGCGTGCAGGAATGGCGGCTTCGTTGTGTCGCCACTGCGGCGTCAGGAGGTCTCCTCGCCAACCACAGCAGCCGGCCAGGGCGGCGGCGGTGATGTGTTCACTCGGTCGCCGTCGGGTATGATCTATCAAGTGGTGCGGCCGGGCAGTGGACCCAAACCGACACGTGGCCAGACCATCAAGTATGACGCCATCGAGTGGCGTGACGCCTTCGACGGACAAAACAAGAGAGGGGAGGTCCGTGCGCGGGAGTTTCTCGTGTCTCAGTTCGCTGAGTGGTGGGTCCAGGAGGTGTTCACTGACATGCGTGTGGGTGAGGTGCGGCGGGTCATTGTGGCAGCCGGACTGAGCGTCAGGGGAGAGGTGACCCTGTTCGGTGAGTACACTCTGGTGGCCATCCTGTGAGCACTGACTCCTAGTGCGTCCCCTGTGTGTGCCCTTGTTCGTGAGGCACCGTCCGGCAGCGATGTCTGATTTTTGTGGCCTGCTGCTGCGTCGGTATATTCTGCTGCATGGTCCTGCTAGAGTTGCTATGGGGTGTCGGTGTGTGTGCTTTGGTCATCTGTGTCGGTGTGCCTTGGCTGCTGCTCACGTCCACCCACACACACACACATGTGTGAGTGCATTGGGTGTGGTGCCGTCGCTGTATCTCTCGGCGACCGATGGACGTGACGTGATGTGATGTGATGGCTTTATCCATGACCCGTGAGCCAGGCCTGCCATAGCCAATGTGACGTTCGTTTGGTTCTGTTTATCCATGAGGCCTGTAAGACCCCAAGACGCCTTTTTGTCTGTCTAATGGTCTGCCTGTCTGCCTGCCTGTCTCACGATGCATGTAGGTGGATGGCATCTGTGGTATCGGTGGGGGTCCTTTTTCTCTCTTGAATCGGACATGACGAAATCTATTCAAGTGGATCTCTCAACCGTATGTGCCAACACTCGTGTCTCCCACGCCACGCCACATCACGTTGCCTATCCTGCCTGCCTGCACTGCCCAATGCTGTGCTCATCTTGCCGATCGGTGGACTGGATCCGACGTTGTGCTTGTCTCCCGCGTGCTGTACTTCCACTGCGGCCACGGTCAGCACTGAGTCAATGGGGAGTGGCCTGTCCATTGCTGCATTGGCCATCTGTCTGTCGGTCTCTGCATGTATGTGTGTGTCAGGTCAGGACAGAACCGATTCCTTCGCTGATGTGTGGCGGGAAAACAAGGTCAGCAGAGCAGAACCGTGGCATTCATCGCACCAATGCATTGCCTCTGTGTGTGTGTGTGAATGAACAGGAGGTGGGCATGGATGTGCCTGAGAACATCAATGCGCTGCTGTGGTACTGCCTGTACCTGGAGCAGTCGGAGGGCAAGCCACGTGGCTGCTATGACGTGGCCAAGCCGTCAGCGCAAGCAGCGGAGACGGCCGAGGTCGTTAGTTTATGAGTGGGGCCCGTGCATTCAGAAGGGTGTGGAGGGGTGGTGCATTCGCCACGGTGTGGCGGGCGTCTATGTATATTACTGTCAGCCTGCTGTGTGCATCGCTCACCCATTCTGAGTACACGTGTCTCGGGTGTTTCGTTGTATGTCGTGCTGCTTTCGCCACGAGGACACAGCCGTGTGCGGCATGAGTGGAGATCTTGAGAGTTCAGACACTGGGCTCTCGTGACCACCGCACATGCAGATACCACAGCAAGGTCGGTTCATTCCGTCTTCAAAGGCTCACACCGAGCCAGCTGATTTTCCGAAGCGCAGCGGCCTGCACGAGTGTGTCACGCTTTTAGCATCTGCGTTAACCAGGGAGGGAGGGAGGCAGGTGGTTAGTGCGGTCGTCTGTCTGGATGTGTCTCCCTGGCGCTCATCTTTCTGCTGTGTGTGGTCTTGAGAACTCAGTGTCAAAAGTGTGTTTGCCGATGTGTAACTCTCCATGTCTCCCCGTGTCATTTGTGTGTGTTGCCAACGTGTGACGGGCGGCACCTGGCTCAGTGAATCACCGGAGCTGGTGTTTCTCTTGTCTGATTGGGCTGGGTGGCTCCAGCAGACCCTGACTGACATGCGTGTGGGTGGAGTGCGCCTGTGTCCCCCTCCTCTTGCCTTCGTTCCTATGCTTGTATACCGATATGCACATGTCGTGTGTGTCCACTCGGCGGGTGGCCACATGCGGGTTTGTGACCAACCAGCCGTGTGACCCTAGGACACACGCCATGGTGTAAGTAAGTGTTTCCACACCACCATTGCACCGGCATGCAGTCGTTTTTGTGCTGCGCGTGATGCATGAGTGGTGGACCCCTTCAGCCTGGCTGTCTTCCTCTCTGTGTGTCAGGCAAACCCATATTGCAAATGAAATGTTGCCATTTGCAGTATTGCGATGCGTCCATCCATCCATCCGTCCGCTCATCCATCGCTTCATCCATTCCTTGACACAATCACGTACGACCCACCTGTGTCAGTCAGTCAGTCAGTCAGACAGTCGGTGAGTCAATCAGCTATACACACGGAGAGAGAGGTCAGTCAGTCATAGCAGCCAAGGCCAGAAGACCACACACCCCCACACCGCACACACACCCCACACACACCTGCGGACGGGCAGCACCGCTCTTTGCCACGGCCAAACCCAATAGGACAGTCAGACAGGCTCGCTCACAGAATGGCCACCAGCCTGAACTCAGTGAACGAAGTCCCCTTTCCAGCCGGGGTCATTCTGGGCGGCAGGATGACTCGTCGCACCTCACCCACACGCACGTCAGTCCACATCTTCTGGAGCCACTCATCCTGATCATACACACTTCCCTCCTCCCCACGGCCCTCGTCTATCTTGTCTTGGCCGTCGATGTCGTCGGCCCACTCGATCCAGTCGAACTCGACCCTCTGGTCAGGTGTGGGTTTGGGTCCACTACCCGGTCGCACCACTTGATGATAGGCGCCAGAGGGGGAGAGCCGAAAGAACCCCTCACAGCTGATGCCGTCCTCGCGTCCGCCGCTTTGTCTGTTGCTGCTGCGGGCAGTGCGACTGAGGGTGGCGGTGAGGGTGGCGGCTGATCGGCGTCCTCCTCTTCGCTGTCTTGGCCTTTATCGGTGCCGACAGCCGACCTGACCACCAGCAGCAAGTCGGTGTTGGAAGCACACGTGCCTGTGTGTCTGTGTGTGTAGGTCACTCACTTGTCGGGTTCGATGCAGAACTTGATGTGCGAGTGGAATGACGGCTTGATGGCCAACCGCTGCCCAGTGACCTCCAACTCATACACAAAGTGACCATCCAACAGCCCGACTGGTCCACCGGTCATGGCGACAGCACACCGCACTGCACAGACACACAGACACACAGACACACAGGCAGACAGTCAGAGTGATGTTCACTTCACCGTGAGATCTGGGTTTGTGTCATTTGTTGGCTGACGTCCTCTGAGTCGGCTGATGCTGTGGAAGCCATTCAGCCGCGACGTCGGCGGCATCTGCGGCTGCAGTGGTGTGAGTGGTGGCCGTACGAACCCATCGACACAGCCGCCCAGGGCACCAAGAGGGCGGCAAACAGCCACACGACCATCCCGCAACAGTCGACACACACGAGATTTGTCGCTTACTCTCCGTTGTTGATGAATCAAATGCCTTCAAATTACAGGCGGGAGCTCTCCCGGCTGCTCTGACGGTGAGGAATTGGCTTTCTTCAAGGAGGGCGATCGTCCTGTGGCTCGCAGATTCACTGGCGTTTGGCTCAAAAAACGACGAAGGACATCAGGAAGGTCAGCTGACAGCACGAGAAACCAAAAACAGACCGAGATCTGATGAGCTCTTCATGTCTGTGTGTGGTCTCTCTCAGTGGTTGATGCCATAGGCTTGGCCTTTCCGGCCCATCTTTCGCAAAAGGGAGGGGCGTGTATCGATGCTGAACATACCCAGTGTTTGCGTCTGCTGATCAGGCATTCATTGATCTCCCATGGCCGCCCTTAAGCTGTCGCGCCATGACGCCCTCTCTGCGGTCGACAGGAGCATTCTCGGCCCTCTGGAGGAACTACAGGCTCAAAGAAAGGACACTGAAGCGGCCCTCACAACGACATACAACATCACCAACCTGCTGACGGAGTCTGGGGCCGTGTGTGACGGCGCATCGGCGGCCTCTGCTGACGACCTGCTGCTGCTCAACGTGGGCGGCACTCACGTGTCGGTCCGCCGCAAGCACCTGACGAGCATCGAGGGCTCTCTGCTGGCGGTGCTGTTCGGTGGCCGATGGGACGGGCGGCTGATACGAGACGAGGACAGTCGAGTGTTCATCGATATGGACGGCGAGGCATTCAAGGCCATCCACAGGGCCATCCTCGACGCCGAGACCCTCCGGCGTGCGGGCAAGGCGGCGTCCGTCGGCCACCTGCTGGATGATGCTGCCAGGGGCAGCCCCGACGACTTCTGGATCAGACTCATGACGGCACCCATCGACAAGGGGCCGGCAGAGACCAAGGAGGCCTTTGTGGAGCCTCAGCTGAGTGCCACGGGCATCCCCGCCGAGTTGGGTGAGTTGGGCAAGACGGTGGATGCGTTTGTGAAGGCATACGCCGCTGAGAAGGCCCGGCTAGAGGGGCAGCTGGAGGCCGCCAAGAGACAATACGAACGGCTGGAGACGGAGATAAAGCTGACCGACTGACAAAACTACAGAGGGGACGAGACTGCGAACACTGTGGCGGTGTGTGTGGGTGTTTGACGACGACAGGCCGTCACGCCGTTTCTCAAGCCGCTGGGTGGCGACGATGCCGTTCGGTCAGTGGAGGTGTGCGGCCAGACGGTGGCTACCACTGAGTCGACCCTCGACCAGATGGGCGATATCACCCTCCGCCATCGACTCGATCTGTAAGAACGACACGCAGCCACATAGATACGCACACACGCATATGTCGTTCGCCGTCTCGTCGTGGGTGTAGGTGGTCGCGGACACGTGCAGTTGAGGTGATGCAGCCCGACCACATCGGCCGTATGGTCGATCACTACCGCAGAAAGCGGCTCGGTGCGTCGACCAAAGACATCGTGGCTCCTCTCAAGATGACAAGCACGATAGAGCAGGCCGCCTTCGACGTCAATGCCGCCATGTACGGCATTGTCAAGACCGACATTGGCGCCACAGCCCAGGCCGCAGCCCACACCAGGTGAGTAGTGAACACCACTCCAAGTATCCACCCCCCCATCGTCAGTTCGTTCGTTTCCCTTATCGATCAGTGTGGGCGGTGTCCCCTCGAGTGTGTCGCCATGGGGATGGCTGAAGGGACGTTGGTGGCTGGTGGCACTCGTGTGTGTGGGCATCCTCGTGGCCATGATGGGTGCTGCCGTCTGCCGTCAGGAGGTCTCCCAGCCAGCAGCTGTCGGCCAGGGACCTGCTGATGTGTTCGTTCGGTCGCCATCGGGTGTGTTTTATCAAGTGGTGCGGCCGGGAAGTGGACCCAAACCGACACGTGACCAGCGGGTCAAGGTCGACTACATCTGGTGGGCTGACGACTTCGACGGACAAGACAAGAAAGACGAGTACCGTGGGATGAAGGGTCGTGTGTCTGATGAACCTGAGTGGTGGCAGCAGGTCTTCACTGACATGCGCGTGGGTGAGGTGCGGCGATACATCCTGCCAGCCAGAGTGTGTGCCACTGGAGAGGAGGCTTACATCGAGCTCAGGCTTGTGGCCATCCTGTGAGCACTGCCTGCTAGTGCGTCCGCTTTGCCTGCGTGAGGGAGGTTCCTTGTGGCCATCCTGTGAGGGCTTTTTGTCTCTAGTCAGTCTTTAGTGGAGATGTCATGATGGCTGCTCATTGCTGGCTGGCTGCACGTGTTCAAACGTGACTGACCTAGTTCCACCCATTTCTGTCAATTGGACTACCTGCCACTCGCTCATGGACTGACATTATCCACCAATAATAGCATTCCATCGTGGCGTGTGCTGCGCCGCCTGTGCGTGTGTCATCCGTTCCACTCTCTCTGTCCAATGCATAGCAGCTATGTACACACACGCTCGCACGCAGGCAATCCCGGCGAGCAGAGTTACCCAAAAACACTGCATCCATGCCAGCCGCACTCCCGTCCTCTCGCAACCGCACGGGAGTGTTACGTTACAAATCATGGCGGGACGGCAAAACGTTGCGTGCATACGTCTTTCCTCCTCGCTGCAACCCTCCCTCCCCACAGGCACCCTGGGGCCGCCGCTCTCACTCAGGTATAGCTGCCGATGTAGGGGAAGCCGGTCTTGAAGACTGCGTCCTGCGTGAGGACGCCTGCAGGAAGGACGATGCACGATGAGTGACTGGCTGGAATGATGCCTGCCTCGACGTCTCTCTGACTGGCTTACCGCTGATGGCGAGCATGGCTGCTCGGCAGTGGTTGAACTCTTTTTCCTCCATGTCACGCTGACACATCACACACACACACACACTTATACACGACCAAGCCCTCTTCACACCCGACCAAGCCCTCTTCCGTCGGACTGAACTCACCACGTAGTCGGGGTCTTTGTTTTTGCAGGATCCTAGTGGGTCGAACCTGAATGCGCCCGGCTTTCTGCCCGACCCGCTGACGGTCTGCCTGAGGGCCACCAGGCCGACCATCTCCAGGAACGACACCCACAGCAGAATCTGACCCATCGCACTAGAATCGACCGCCTTGTCATGCGGGTGCAGGGACGACACAGCGTGCTCGGGACCTGCAACACGCACACACACACACACACACGGCGTTCTGTATGGGCTCAGATCCACCCCGCCGCTATGGCTGCCATCAGCCCCCTCATGGGCATCCACATGCAGAGGGGCTCTGAAACAGTTCGGTCAGGGTGGGGTCTGATGCCGAGGCATCGGCTCCGATATCACTGGGATTCGACCCAGAACCGTCACGGTGGGCGGCTCCGATATCACTGGGGAGTGCGGCGAAATTCGGCCGCTGGCGGCACGGCGATGGGTTCTCCAGACTGTCGAACACTGCAGGCGGCTTGTCATGCCGAATCCATCGCGCGGCAGAAGCGTTTACAAATTTCGGCGCTACGGATCGCGCGCTCTCCACTCTCTGCGTTAGCCGTGCGACGACAGCCCTCCTGCTATCTGCCTGTCTCTCTGCCCTCTGTCTTAACGGCCTCCCCCTTCTCTGTCCATCTGCAGCATCCCTCGACTCCACTCTCATCGCTTGACTCCGAGTCTCTCTCTCTCCTCAGCTTATCGTGTTCAGCAAGCCCCTCGTCGTTGTTCGTCTGCCCGCTGCTCGTCTGTGCTTCCACCCGTCGTCCACCTCACGACCGATGAAGGCCCTCTCCCTTTCGGTGCTGGTGTGCCTGCTCGGCATCGCACTGGTCTGCGCTGATGATATGAAGCCAGCTGCTCCTGCTGATGCGCCGTCTGCGGTGGCCCGGCGTCTGAGAGGCGGGGCACCTGATGACGCCGACGAAGTGACATCCGATGGTACACACACACGATGGCTGTTTGCAGCTCGTCCAAACGCTGCACAAGTACGCCTTTCCTGTGTACCTGTGTGCCTGTAGGTGGTGTGTCTGATGCCCTTGTGACGGGGCCGGCGGCAGCAGACTGTGAGGACGCGGCTGATGAGCCGACGGCTGCACCTACAGGTGGGTGTGCAGACGACATCCCCACCCCGCCCACACGTCATCCTTGTGTTGGCCACGTGTGTGTGTGTGTGTGTGCAGATGAAGATGAAGATGAGCCCAGTGGCCTGGAGGCTGTGGAGGAGTCATCGAGTCCCACAGAGCGGAGGCTGGGCCCGGGCTTCTGGGACAAGCTCAAGTATTACAAGAACAAGATCAAGCAGAAGTGGTATGGCTACAAGAACAAAAAGTATGGTGGCGGTGGCTATGGCGGAGGCTACGGTGGTGGTTACGGCGGGTACTATTAGACACACCACAACACACATAGTGTGTGTGGGTGTGTGTGGGTGCGTGCGATGACACACACATATAGTATAGCGTGTACATATCTCTGTTGATGGCTGTGTATGTAAGTCACTATGTAAGTCGCTCGTGCGTCTTTGTGTTTTAAGTACGAGCACCGTACGTGTGGAGCTATTGATGACATCCAATGGGGGGGCGGGTGGCTAGTGTGTGTTTGCCTCAAGGAATCGGATGGTCCATCCCATCCAGGTTCCGATTGTGCACACACATATGCACCTAGGTGGTCGTTCTTTGTAAGTGAGATGGTGAGCACTAAGTGAGTACACAAAGCGATAGGGTGTGGTGTGGCTGATTCTGGCAGTATGTCCTGTCTCTCTAAGTGCCTGGCCGTCTGGCTGCTGCTCTGCCAGATGTGATCGATATCGATGCTGCCCGTGCAAAAGTCTTTTGACCGCGATTCTCTCCTCCGATGATGCAACACCGCGCTCTCTCTGTGAGTGATCGGCGTCCTCGTGTGAGCTGCTTAGTACGTGTATATGTGTGTGGGTGCATGTTGATACATGTTGATATAGACCTTGGACAACACGCGATAGGGCGGTACAATAGATAGTGAGGACGCCTTCGCATCCAGATGTGATGAGATGAGCTACACAGAATGATCGCGCCGCACTCTACCTGTCCATCATGGCTACTCATTTAGTCATCATAACTCCCCATTCAGTCATCAGTCGTTGCGGTCCGTCCGTCCCTCCATCCCTTCCTTCCTCATATCACAATCACACACATCGACTCCCCCGCCTGATATGTGTCAGTCAGTCAGTCAGTCAGCTTTACACACGGAGAGGTCAGTCATTGCAGCCACATACCAGCCAAGGCCAGAACACCACACACACACACACACACCCCACAGCCACACCTGCGGACGGGCAGCATCGCCCTTTGCCACGGCCAAAGACAATAGGACCGTCAGACAGACTCAATCGCTCAAAAGATGTCCACCAGCCTATACTCGAGGTATCTCTTGTCTGTCCCACCCGAAACAACGAAATCCATTCACTTTCTTCTCTGCCGTATCTGTCGACGCTTGTGTCTTCCAGTCACAGCAAGTCACACTTATGGTCTTCCTGCCTGGTGCACGCCTTCGCATCCAGACTCGATGTATCTACAGTCGCCTGCACCACACGCACCACTGGCAGCCAGTCCTCGGCCCCCTGTGCACCGACCAAACTCCCGAAAGAATCAGTGAGTACTTTGACCGAACTGTTTGTTGACAGCTTTGACACCCATTGAGTGAACAGATGGCGCAGATAAGTGCAGTCAGTCTCATGACAGCAGATGGTGACAGTCAGTGTCTCGGACTTATCATCAGTACGGCACACGGCACTCACCAGTCAGTAATCGGTCAGACTGTCTCACCTAAGGCCTCAATCCACGTCCTGGATGCCATGGTCTCTATCCTCGCCACAAACCGCTCAAACAGCTCCTTGAGCACTATGCGCCGCACCGGCTTCTCGATGAAGGACGTGTCGAAGAGAGAATTCGCATCAGGGTGAGACAAAATCACGTTCTGCAGCGAAACGGATACACAGCAGAGGCTGCCCATCTTTGGCCCCCTTGGCTGCTGAGCAAGCAGCACATGGCCGTCTCACCTCTTTGCTCTGCGCAGTGCACCTGTGCACATAAAGAACACGTGTGTGTGTGATTGTCTCTCTGTCTCTGTGTGTATGGTTTGCTCACAGGGCCATGAAGATGGGCGGCGCGCGTCTTGTCCGTTCCATGTCGTGGAGCATCTTCCGAATGCTCCTCGCCGCCGCCACGCCGTCGCTCTCCGGCATCTCCAAATCCGTCAGCAGGAATATCGGCCTGAACGAAACACACACCATGCACTTGCAAGCGAACAATGACATGTATCTCTGTGTGGAGCCATCGTGTACGCGTCGCTTTGGTTGAGCCTGTCTTTGACGGCGTTGACGAGCTCGACGCCGTTCAAGGCCCAGGTCATGCTCTCCTCGGGCCAACCCATCTTTGTGATCATCAGCTCGAGCGACTGCCGGTTGATGAAGTCGTCGTCGGCCAGCACTATGTGGATCTTGAGGCGCTGCATCTTTTCCATAAGCTCTTTGAGTGCGGTGTCGTCGATGGTCTGCCGCAAGGGACTCCTGTCGCCCCTCCTGCCGACGTTGAGCTCAAACACGCCCCAGCACTGGAAGCGGAGAATGGCTGTCGTGCCTTTGTCGATGCCCTCGGACTCCAGCCGGCAGTCGCCTCCCATCGCCATGGCCACTATTCGCGCGATGGAGAGGCCAAGGCCAGTACCGATCAGGGCATCCTTGGCTTGCACTTGCTGCGTTACAGAGCAATGGGCAGATTGGCATCGGCAGACACACACGCTCTGACCTTTTCCAAGTGGCTTGCTGACCTCAAATTCTTTGAAGATGCTTTGCAGCTTATCGTCGGGGATTCCCCGGCCGCTGTCTGCACAGACATCCGACAGGTAAGGCAGAAGACTTTACCAAGCCGAGCAAAGGTTTTCACCGACCTTTGACCCTGATCTCGATGGCGTATTTCTTCATCGACTCGACATCACACGACGGATGCTTCGCCAGGTCAAGGTCAGGCGGCTCGCCCTCCTGACGACGGACAAACACACAATAATTACACATGGGGGCCTCTGATGCGTCATTACCTGGTCCGCTGCCAGCTCAGAAGTGACGGACACTTCAACAGACCCTACAGGCAGACGGACAGGGACACGAGACACAAGGCAGGATCCACCCACGGGAAAGCTTCTGCTGTCTATGGTGACCTTTCTCGGTCATCTTGACGGCATTCGACAGCAAATTGTTCGCCGCCTGTGAAGTGCGGACGCTGTCGCCATAGATGAAGTAGGGCAAATGTGACAGCGAAGGGACCTCATACGTCAGCTTCTTGAGTCTCGTTGTCGGGATGTGCAGGTGGAAGACCTTCTTCAGCGCTGCCCGGCAGTCCATCCAGTCGAGATGCAGGTCGAACACATCGCTAAGGGTCGTCACGTTTCTTCGCTCGTCGTCTTGCGAGGCCGTATACAGGAGCATCGAGGCAGTCTTTTTGACTCGCCCCCAGCTGCAGCAGGTGGGCGTGACGTCGAGAGAGGACGATGGACGCCGCAAAGCGCCGCGGTCGATGCGATCGAGGCTGTACTTACGCTCCCGTTTGAGGGTCAGGCGAGACACCTCCAGGAGGTTGTTGGTCAGCAGTAGCATGTACTCGCCGGCGCTGCTCATTATGTCCACATAGCCGTAGACTGCAGTACGAATGCGGGGGGGATAGGCGTAGGAGCATGCAGTCACTTGCTCGTGAAATGACATTCATTCGTACTTGGGTGTTCTGAGTTTATTTTGAGGTTCTGGTCGAGGTCATTCCTCATGAAGTCTGCCGCGTTGATGACGCCATTCAGGGGGGTCCTGAGATCATGTGTAATTTTCGCGAACGTCGCATGCTGGGCCGCCAGGAACCGGTTTTTCTCCTCCGTCATTTTTTGCAGACGCGAGCGGTCCCGGATTACTTCCCGAGTCTTCCTTTCCATGTTGATGCTCACCCACACCAGCAACAGCGCCGTTACTAGAAACACACAAAGAAGCTGAAGTGAGATGAGTTGCAGACGATTGACAATACGTGTAAGCCTACATCCAGTTGGGGTTATTCTACATCATACGGCAGCACGCACATGTGGAAGAGAAGGGACAGATAGAGAACAGTGTGTAGTCGGCCACGCGGGTTAATGAGATGGTCGTGCCTACCTGCCTAGCATGTCTGACCCATACTCCAGTGAGTCAGCTAAGAGGAACCTAAAAGCAGGGAAAAGGATCACCTGTGTCAGCACGCTGCACGCAGCCGTGAATGCATAACAGACCAGGAAAACATCGACAGGCACACACACCTACAGGCAAAGAACCAAAAGCCAAAGAAGACAGGCCGTCCATCAAATCGATGAACAATACAGCGAGACACGTACCCAGCGAGGAAGCTGTTCGCCTTGAACACTGTGAATAATCACACATCGGGGAGATTGCTCAACGAAGCCATGATGCGAGAAGATGTGTGTGTGTATCTACCTGTCCAGTAGGCCACCATGCCCAGGGAGTACGCCAAATCAGCAGCCGGCATCGAAGTGCATCGCGCCTCAGCGGGCAGGATTTCCACCAAGGTTCTCTTGCTGAAACGGTATCGCGAATGGAAGGCGTTGAGGCTTCCAATGACACAGAAACAGATCGTCATAATGCGCAAGTCGATGAGACGCGACGCATGGGTCTTGTTGGGCCAAATCGCTCGGACAGCTAAGAAGCTTCCAAGCAATGAGACGATCACCCTACATGCGCACGGACGCCTATACGGCCGGATATATGCGCGAATAGTTTTGCCTTACGCATCTCGAAGCATCCGTGAGAATAGAAAGTCACCGTGTCGAACTAGTCTTTCGGTCTCCGTGGCAATGTGCGACACAAGGCCGAACGCAAAAACCAACAAGGGGACCTGCCACACACATACAGAAACGTACATCGCAACACCAGAGAGAGAAAGTCTGCTACCTTGATCCATCGGACCAGATCAGAATACACCCATTTCTGGAAGGCCACCTCCAGCTTCGGATCAATGAACTCGACTTTCAAGCTGCCACACACACACATCAACGCGCTGTCACGCCGCTGATTCTCTCTCGAGAGGTGATAACAGATACCAGGGCATTCTGCTCCAAACAGGATGGCAATCTATATCGGCCCAGTGCGCAGAGGCGCTCTTCATCAGTCGGTCTGTCACATCCTCTTCATCCGCTGCCACAGGGACAGTCACCTCCGGGACCGTCACCTCTGTTTTCGCCTCTCCTGCTTTCGGCTCCATCACAACGAGAACACGAGTTATCTGCATGTGCACCAACAAAACACATATACCTTTCTCATCAACTGCCTCCCTCCATCTCTGCCTCACCGATGACGGATCGTCTTGGGGGCGTGCTGGGGGCTCAAGTCTCGCACGGCGAATCCCGCGGTGAGGAGAAAAGAGAGGCAGCACAATGAGGGGAAAAGACGCGTGCGTCGTGTTGATGCATGCAGATACACTGAACTCGTGTTCTCGTCGATCGTGATGGATGAGCAGCCGAAAGCAGATGCGAAAGCGGAGGTCCCCGACCTGGAGAAGGGCAAGACAGCTGACGATGAGACTGTGACCCGACAGCTGCTGCGGAATGCCTCCGCGAACTGGGCTGACCTAGATTGCCACCCCGTGTGGAGCGGAATGCCCTGGTGAGCCCCGCACTCTCATCTGTGTCCAGTGGATCTGTGTGAATCCGTTGTATGATGCTGAATGCTGCCTACAGTCTGAAGGTCGAATTCGTGGATCGGAAGATGGAGATGACCTTCCAAAAGTGGGTGTACAATGATCTCATTCGATGGATCAAGGTACGTTCAAAGCAGTGGCGCAGGGCCGGCCCCATGCCATCTCTACATCTCTCTCACCATGTCTCTCTCTCTCTCTCTCTGTGTGTGTGTGTGTGTGTGTGTGTGTGTGTGCTTCAGGTCCCGCTACTGGTCTTTATAACCGGGCTTGTCGGGCACATTGCCTCTGAGGCCGGCAGATTGGCGAAGAGCGGGGATTTCTTCTTTTCACGGCTAGTCCGCGACGCGTAAGGCAGAGAATTATGCGCACAGCTGTCCGCCTATGTGAGATGCAGCGGCGTCTATTCGTCTGTTGTCATGCAGTGTGGTTGTGGGCCTTCTCGGAGCCTTCTTAACCGTCCGAGCGATTTGGCCCAACAAGACACACGCTTCCCGTCTCATCGACTTGCGCATCATGACGATCTGTTTCTGTGCTGTTGGATGCCTCAACGCCTTCCACTCGCGATACCGTTTCAGCCGCAGTACCCTGCTGGAAATCCTGCCCGCTGAAGCGCGGTGCAAAGAAATACCTGGGGCTGATTTCGGCTATGCACTGGGCATGGTGGCCTACTGGACAGGTAGAGACACACACATGTTCTCGCATCATGGCTTCGTTGAGCAATCTCCCTGATGTGTCATCATTCGCAGTGTTCAAAGCGAACAGCTTCCTCGCTGGGTATGTGTCTCGCTGTATTGTACATCGATTTAATGGACGGCCTGTCTTCTTTGGCTTTTGGTTCTTTGCCTGTAGGTGTGTGTGCCTGTCGATGTTTTCCTGGTATCACAAGCTATACGGCAATGCACGACAATAAGTCGCCTTCTGTCTTGTTTGCACACCGACAGGTTAATTGTAGCTGAAGCTATCGTCGATCGGGAAGGAATGTTCAGCAGGTACGTATGGTATGTCATACGCCTAGGCCCTATGCTCCTGTCCCCACATGGGTATCTATCTGTCTGTGGCTGCCCACATGCACGATGCCGTAGGGTGTTCCCACCTGGATGTAGGTTGGCTGACAAGCAGTACACGGCTCGCAACCAGCATGCGACGTTATCTCTCTTGGTCTTTCGTTGGTATCTCTCCAGTGACGGCGCTCTTGCTGGTGTGGGTGAGCATCACCATGGAGAGAAATTGTCGAGAAGTGATACGAGACAAACACCGAATCCAAAAGATGACGGAAGAAAAGGACAGGTTCCTGGCGGCCCAGCATGCGACTTTCGCGAAAATTACACATGACCTCAGGACCCCCCTGAATGGCGTCATTAACGCGGCAGACTTCATGAGGAATGACCTCGACCAGAACCTCAAAATAAACTCAGAACACCCAAGTACGCCTGTCATTTCTCGAACAAGTGACTGCATGCTTCTACGCCTATCCCCCCCGCATTCGTACTGCAGTCTACGGCTATGTGGACATAATGAGCAGCGCCGGCGAGTACATGCTGCTGCTGACCAATAATCTCCTCGAGGTATCTCGCCTGACCCTGAAGCGGGAGCGCAAGTTCAGCCTCGACCGCATCGACCGCATCGACCGAGGCGCTTTGCGGCGTCCATCGTCCTCTCTCGACGTCACGCCCACCTGCTGCAGCTGGGAGGGAGTAAAAAAGACAGCATCAAGACTTCTCTACGCGGCCTCGCAGGACGACGAACGAAGGAACGTGACGACCCTTAGCGATGTGTTCGACCTGCATCTCGACTGGATGGACTGCCGGGCAGCGCTGAAGAAGGTCTTCCACCTGCACATCCCGACCACGAGACTCAAGAAGCTGACGTATGAGGTCCCCTCGCTGTCTCACCTGCCCTACTTCATCTATGGCGACAGCGTCCGTATTTCACAAGCGGCAAATAACCTGCTGTCGAATGCCGTCAAGATGACCGAGAAAGGTCACCATGGACAGCGGCGAAGCTTTCCCGTGGGTGGATCCTGCCTTGTGCCTCGTGTCTCTGTCTGTCTGCCTGTAGGGTCTGTTGAAGTGTCCGTCACTTCTGAGCTGGCAGCGGACCAGGTAATGTCAATTGGAGGCCCCCATGTGTAATTACTGTCTGTCCCTCCGTCGTCAGGACGGCGAGCCGCCCGCCTTTGACCTGGCTAAGCATCCGTCGTGTGATGTCGAGTCGATGAAGAAATACGCCATCGAGATCAGGGTCAAAGGTCGGTGGAAGCTTTGCTGGGCTTGGTAAGCTCTTCTTCTTTATCTGTCGGATGTCTGTGCAGACAGCGGCCGGGGCATCCCTGACGATAAGCTGCAAAGCATCTTCAAAGAATTTGAGGTCAGCAAGCCACTTGGAAAGGGTCTGAGCGTCTGTCTCTGCCGACGTCAATCTGCCCATTGCTCTGTAACGCAGCAAGTGCAAGCCAAGGATGCCCTTATCGGCACTGGCCTTGGCCTCTCCATCGCGCGGATGGTGGCCATGGCGATGGGAGGCGACTGCCGGCTGGAGTCCGAGGGCATCGACAAAGGCACGACAGCCATTCTCCGCTTCCAGTGCTGGGGCGTGTTTGAGCTCAACGTCGGCAGGAGGGGCGACAGGAGTCCCTTGCGGCAGACCATCGACGCCACCGCACTCAAAGAGCTTATGGAAAAGATGCAGCGCCTCAAGATCCACATAGTGCTGGCCGACGACGACTTCATCAACCGGCAGTCGCTCGAGCTGATGATCACAAAGATGGGCTGGCCCGAGGAGAGCATGACCTGGGCCTTGAACGGCGTCGAGCTCGTCAACGCCGTCAAAGACAGGCTCAACCAAAGCGACGCGTCCGCCAGGGCTCCACACAGAGAGACATGTGATTGCTCGCTTGCAAGTGCGTTTGGTGTGTTTCGTTCAGGCCGATATTCCTGCTGACGGATTTGGAGATGCCGGAGAGCGACGGAGTGGCGGCGGCGAGGAGCATTCGGAAGATGCTCCACGACATGGAACGGACAAGACGCGCGCCGCCCATCTTCATGGCCCTGTGAGCAAACCACACACACACAGAGAGACACACACACTCGTGTTGTTAATGGACACAGGTGCACTGCGCAGAGCAAAGAGGTGAGACGGCCATGTGCTCTTTGCTCACCACACACGGGGGCCAAAGATGGGCAGCCTCTGCTGTGTATCCCTTTTTCTGCAGAACGTGATTTTGTCTCACCCCGATGCGAGTTCTCTGTTCGACACGTCGTTCATCGAGAAGCCGGTGCGGCGCATAGTGCTCAAGGAGCTGTTTGAGCGGTTTGTGGCGAGGATAGAGACCATGGCATCCAGGACGTGGATTGAGGCCTTAGGTGAGACAGTCTGACCGATTGTTGACTGGTGAGTGCCGTGTGCCGTACTGATGATAAGTGCGAGACACTGACCGTCACCATCTGCTGTCATGACACTGACTGTTATCTGCGCCACCTGTTCACTCAATGAGTGTCAAAGCTGTCAACAAACAGTTCGGTCAAAGTACTCACTGATTCTTTCGGCAGTTTGGTCGGTGCACAGGGGGCCGAGGACTGGCTGCCAGTGGTGCGTGTGGTGCAGGCGACCATAGATACATCGAGTCTGGATGCGAAGGCGTGCACCAGGCAAGAAGACCATAAGTGTGACTTGCTCTGACTGGAAGACACAAGCGTCGACAGATACGGCAGAGAACAAAGTGAATGGATTTCGTTGTTTCGGGTGGGACAGACAAGAGATACCTCGAGTATAGGCTGGTGGCCATTCTGTGAGCGAGCCTGTCTGACGGTCCTATTGTCTTTGGCCGTGGCAAAGGGCGATGCTGCCCGTCCGCAGGTGTGTGGGAGTGGTGTGTGTGGGTGTGTCGTGTTCTGGCCTTGGCTGCTATGTGGCTGCAATGACTGACCTCTCCGTGTGTACAGCTGACAGACTGACTGACTGACACATATCAGACGGGGGAGTCGATGTGTGTGATTGTGATATGACGAGGGAAGGGATGGACGGATGGACGGATGGACGGATGGATGGACGGACCGCAACGACTGATGACTAAATGAGTAGCCATGATGGAGGTAGGTAGAGTGCGGCGCGATCATTCTGTGTAGCTCATCTCATCACATCTGGATGCGAAGGCGTCCTCACTATCTATTGTACCGCCCTATCGCGTGTTGTCCAAGGTCTATATCAACATGTATCAACATGCACCCACCCACCCACACACACATATACACGTATTTGAGAGCTCACAAGAAGACGCCGATCACTCACAGAGGGAGTGCGGTATATGTATGCGTCGGACCAGAGAATCCCGGTCAAAAGACTTTTGCGCATCGATATCGATCACATCTGGCAGAGCAGCAGCCACACAGACAGGCACTTAGACAGACAGAACATACTGCCAGGATCAGCCACACCACACCCTCTCTCGCTTTGGGTACGGTACTGAACCCCTTGTCTCACTAACCAAGAACGACCAGATATGTACATGTGTGTGCACACAACCGACACGTGGATGGGATGGACCATCCGGTTCCTTGAGGCAAACACACACTAGCCACCCGCCCCCCCACTGGATGTCATCCATAGCTCTACACGTACGGTGCTCGTGCTTGAACAAAGCGCACGAGCGACTTACATAGTGACTTATATACACAGCCATCGACAGAGATATGTACACGCCATACTGTGTGTGTGTCAACGCACCCACCCACCCACACTATGTGTGTTGTGGTGTGTCTAATAGTATCCGCCGTACCCACCACCGTAGCCACCGCCGTACCCACCGCCGCCATACTTTTTGTTCTTGTAGCCATACCACTTCTGCTTGATCTTGTTCTTGATCTTGTTCTTGTAATACTTGAGCTTGTCCCAGAAGCCCGGGCCCAGCCTCCGCTCTGTGGGACTCGATGACTCCTCCACGGCCTCCAGGCCACTGGGCTCATCTTCATCTTCATCTGTTCACGCACAAATCCACACACACACACACGTGGCCAAAATTGCAAGGATGACGTGTGGGCAGGGTGGGGATGTCTGCACACCCACCTGTAGCTGCAGCCGTCGGCTCATCAGCCGCGTCCTCACTGTCTGCTGCCGCTGGCCCCGTCACAAGAGCATCAGGCACACCACCTACAGACACACAGGTACACAGGAAAGGCGTACTTGTGTGCAGCGTGTGGACAAGCTGCAAACAGCCACCCTGTGTGCGTACCATCGGATGTCACTTCGTCGGCGTCATCAGCTATCCCGCCTCTCAAACGCCGGGCCACCGCAGACGGAGCATCAGCAGGAGCAGCCCGCTTCATATCATCAGCGCAGACCAGTGCGATGCCGAGCAGGCACACCAGCACCGAAAGGGAGAGGGCCTTCATTTGTCGTGGAGCGGGCGACGGGAGGAAGCGCAGACGAGCAGCGGGCAGGCAACAACGACGAGGGGCTTGCTGAAGAGAATAAGTTGGGCAGCCGCGAGATGAGAGATCGATGCAAGCGATGAGAGTGGAGTCGAGGGATGCTGCAGATGGACAGAGAGGGGGAAGGCCGTTAAGACAGAGGGCAGAGAGACAGGCAGATAGCAGGAGGGCTGTCGTCGCATGGCTAACGCAGAGAGGAGAGCGCGATCGGCGCAACGGCCGCGAAATATGTAAACGCTTCTGCCGCGCGATGGATTTGCGGCATGACAAGCCGCCTGCAGTGTTCGACAGTCTGGAGAACCCATCGCCGTCCCGCCAGCGGCCGAATTTCGCCGCACTCCCCAGTGATATCGGAGCTGCTGCGCCGGCAGCAGACCCCACCGTGACGGATCTGTTTCAGAGCCGATGCCCTCTGCATGTGGATGACCATGAGGGGGCTGATGGTAGTCATGACGGCGAGGTGGATCTGAGCCCATACAGAACGAAGGCGGCCATGATGAACGGCCGGGACGAGGTGCGTCAGACGGGAGCGGGGGAAGACACTCTCTGCGATGTGTGTGGGGGTGGGGGGTGGTTGTTCAGTCGCCTGGGTTCAATACTGTAGTTGCATCGCTGAAGGACGAGATCTCGGTGCTGGAGTCACAGCTCATCGAGCGCCACGCCACACTCGAGGCCACCATTCTCCAGGCGGATTACCACACGTCATCGACAACCAAGTCCCCCAACGGCGGCCCCCCATCGCAGAACGGCTACCAGTGGCGGGCCGACATCCTGCCTGTGGTGCAGCAGATCAAGAACCCCTCCTACTACAACTCGGCCGTCACCTCCCACGCACACATTCCCAAACCCCTCAACACATCCCTGCCCGCCCCGCCAGCAGTCGACCATAACAATAACAGCAGTGACGGCTTCGCATCGGCCCTCCCACTGGCAGACAGCAAGAATGGCCACCATGCCAATGGCAATGCGGGCGCCAATGGCGAGGGCGATGACAAGCTCAACAGCACTCCCAGCCCGTCGCTATCGTCCTCCCCTCTCCGTGTGTCGTCATTCCGCGGGCGCACCAAGGGCGGGCTGCCGCTACGTCTGCCGCGGTCGTCCGGGCTCTTCTGTGCGGTGCTGTCCCAGTGGATTCGGCAGATGGAGCAGAGGATGCTCAGGGGTGTGTGGTGGCAGTGGAAGGTGGCGGGGAGCAGGGGGAGGGCGGCGCTGAGGCGCCTGGTGGAGAGTCGGGCGGGGGCGCTGCGGGCCATGAGGGAGGGGTGGCACAGGTGGGTACATGCGGTTCTGCTGGCGCGGCTGGAGCGCGTCACGCAGGAGCTGCGGGACGCCGAGGAGAAGGTGGGACACGGAGCAGAACCAAATCGCCCCAACACCCACTCACTCTTGCTTTCATGTTCCTTTGCGTGTGCAGGTGTTGCAGTGCATGAGCATGGGCGTGCACGTGTACCGGGATGGGGCGGAGGGGCGTAGCGACGTGGGCAAGGCCGTGTGGGCGTGGGTGTCGCGCAAGAGCAGGGAGCGGCATCTGGCCGCCATGCGGGCGTGCTTTGTCGCCATCAAGTGGGAGGCCGCCACCAATAAGAGAGATAAGGAGGTGAGATCGGGGAGGAACAAGCGGGTTGTCATTGGCATGGATGTGCGGGTGCATTGTGTGTGTGTGTGCAGATGTTGGTGTGGAGGACTGTAGCAGAGCGCGAGAACCACGACCTGCGGCGTCGGCTGGACGAGAGGTAGGGAGGAAAACCAACACCTCGACGATGGCAATGTCTCTCTCTTCCTGCACTGCACTGCACGGCAGCATGCGTCAGTCGCGCCGCGCCGCCGTGGAGAAGGCCGACCTGCTGGCCCACCTCGATGCGGCAGAGAAGAGGCTCAAGGAGAGGGACAGCCACGACGTGAATCTAGTCCATATGAATCGTACACTAAGGTAGGCCACACACACCACACACCATACACCATACCCATGCACACACAGAGAGATGCGTGGCAAACAGTGTGATACGCGCGACGAACAATGGGTCTGCGTCTGTGTGTGTGTGTGTGTGTGTATGTGTGCAGGGTCCGCGTGCATCAGCTGGAGAGGCAGATCGAACAGAGCAAGAAGGTCACATCCACACACATATCCACTCATCCCCCACCCCGCCCCACGCCGTCCACCTCTCTCTCCTTAGGATCTGACGGCCAAGACGGCAGAGCTGCAAGAGCACGAGAGGCGGCGCCGCCCCTCCACAGCCAGATCAACCACCACAACCACCGCAGAGGCGCTGCACAAGGCCCTCTCCCAGCAGGAGGCTTCCGAACAACACACGGATGGCGAGCAGGAGGGAAACAGAGGCGTGCATGGGATTCGGGAGCCTGGGGGCAGCGACTCCTCTACGCCAGCTCTTGGGTCGATAAGGAGACTGGTAGGTACTGTAGGTGGGTCGGTGGGCATTGGCAGGAAATGTTATTATTGTGTCGCATGACGTCTGTCAGATTGGTACGGATAATGTGGAGTTGCTGCGGGTGCAGTATGTGCGCAGCAGGGACCGGTGCAGAAACCTCGAGCAGGACAATGCCGTGCTGCAGGTGTGTACCCTCTCACTGATGCATCAACAAAGACACACAAGACAGCACACATCACACAGCCTCTTTTGCGGCCGTGCGGCCGTGTGTTTGCAGGGTGAGGTGAGGGCTCTCAACGCGGAAATGCACAAGCTGCGGGCACTGGTGAGCAAGCCTCTCTCCCCCGGCATCTTCGTTTTTCGATGTGCATATTGCCTGTTTTCCTGTGTGTGACTTTGTCAGTCCCGCAATGAGCGCACCAAGCGCATGACGTCCCAGACGCGGGAGCAGGAGGCCCTCAGAGAACAAGAACGGGTAAATGAACGCACGACAATACGCAAATCCGCCAATGGACCAATGAGTTGTAAGGCACATGTAGCTGGAGAGTGAGAATGCCAGTCTGCGCGATGCGTTGGCGGAGAGAGCCGCCATCAAACAGAAGAAGAAGCTCATCCGACCGACACAGACACAGACACACCCGCAGCAACAGCAGCAGGAGCAGCCCGACACATACCCACAGGCAAGCGCCCACTGCCTGACGGCCAGGCAGGCAGAGACATCTCCCCAACACGTCTCCTTCTGTGTGCTGTGCATCCCTGTGTGCAGCTGTATGACCTTCGTCCGCCCCTGCCCCCATCCCCCACTCCCCGCGACTGCATGATGCCTCAGCCCGACCACCCCATACCCCACGGATACGACGGCACCAACACGAACATGCTCCCCTACCCCCTCTCACACACACAGCTGCCCCAGCACCCCTTCTCCAGCCACTTCCGCCCAGCCATGCTGCAGCAGCAGGCGGACGGCATCGAGGCGCCCAAGCAGCACCAGCACCAGCAGCGGCAGGAGGGCTGGCAGCACCCGGCGGGCCCCTTCGGTCTGCCGGCTGTGCAGGAAGACGCCAACGAGAGCGAGGACGCCCCGATTTCGTCTCGCCTGCCTGACGACATGGCGGCCAAGGAAGACTCAGATGGCGAGGAGCAGGTGCGGCTTGACGAGGAAGATGCGGATGAGCCAGCGCCCCGTCTGCTCCCACCGCTCATCTACCTGCCCCCCGTGCCGTCCGGCACGCTCCACAACGAAGAGCAGACATCTGATGGCGAGAAGGGGAGGGAGAACAACGACATCGGCCGGGCGTGTGAGTGGTCTGACGGGCACGACAGCAGTGAGGAGGAGGGCATGAATATGATGAATGGGGAGGGGGATGGCGAGCTGGTCCTCGAGCGGCCGGATGACGGCCAGCAGGCGGCGGGGGAGGAGAGGGAGAAAGAGGGCGTCTGCTGGAGGGAGGATGAGCAACAGCAACAGGGAGATGACGGACAGAACATCAACAGCATGATTCCGAGCTTCGACGCAAAGAGGTACCTTGCACAGATGGACCCTTTCATCCATCTGCATCCATGCCCTTGTGTCTTCTCTGACCTTTTTCAGTCTCTTCTCCCCAGGTGCTGCCGTCCAAGAGCGCCCGGCACGTCCCCCTCTGCCCCACCGCGCCCGCATGCCCACACCCCCAATCTACCACCCACCGAAGGCCACGATGCAGACCGCCAGCCCCAAGGCGGCGGCTGTGCCCCCACTGCCGTACCCTTTGATGCCTCGCCCACCCGCCCCCACTCACAGACCGCTGCTGACACTCATGCAACGGACAAGCCATTACGGGAGCAGCTCGCTGCCGGGGACGCCGGTGCGACAGCAGCCGCTGATGATGGACGGCGGGGTTGCTGGTGGTGGTGCTGGTGTGGGGGGCGGCGTGCATGGGGGTGTGGGCGGGGGGTGGAGGAGCCCACAGGTGATGCTCTCGCAGAGATGAGGAAGTGGAGTGGAGTGGAGTGGAGTGGGGCGGGATGGGATGGGGTGGAGCGGAGGGACACTTAGATAGATGCATGGAGCGTCTGTGTGCGTGAGGGGTGTATAGGTTTGCATGAGCTCTAGACGGGGACCTGTGGGGGCTTAGTTGACGACGCCATTCACGATTGATTCAAAGCTCCATACATATCACACACGCAGTCCCTGTTTCGTTCGTCTCTATAACCACAACATGCACAGCCACGGGTCTTGAGATCTTTTTGAAATCTTGTCAGCCTGATGCATCCCACATGAAAAGCAGGCTCCCTCTTCGTGTGTTGGAGTGGTGCCCACCATCTCATTTGTCGATGTCTGTGGATTCGGCGTAGAGAATGGTCTTGAGCTTCGCCAGCGTCTGGCGCATGACGGGGTCGTCAGAGGTCCACTTCCTGGACTCACCAAAGCGCTCCAACATCCGCAATTTGTCCTGCACACACAGATGCAAGGCGCGACGACGTCATCTGTCATGCGCATCGTTTTTGTCGGCTGCTCACGAGGTAGATGTTCCTCTCGCGCAACATGATGATGTGTCTGAGCTGCAGCTCCCTCTCCAAGGCCGCAGCGCGTTCCATCAGTCGCGCCCGCTTACATCTGTAAACACTCTATCCAAGGGAAAATGGTGGACTTTTCGGACTGGCGGGTCCTTTCTGCGTCCGGTGGGTGTTTCTGTGTGCTGTTCATCACATCCATTGTGCTCTTCTCCATCAGCTGGGGCGTCGTCGAACCAAGACAGTATGGGGTAGGTCAGCCGCGGCGAGCAAGGATGGCATCCCCCTCCCTCCCTCTGTTGGCTTGCAGATAGTCTACGACAACACCTACAAGAAGATCCTCACCGACCGAATCAAGGACAGCGGCCGCTACCTTGGTGAGCATGGCTGCCTATGGCTGCAGCATTCGCGGCCATGTGTGTACATTGCCTTTTGTGTCCGCAGTGGGGCTGGGGCGGTCGTTCATCCACTACCCCCGCGGGCATGTGACGATTGAGTTCAAGAATGGCGACAGCAACAGCCCGCAGCTGGCCTGCTGGTCAGGCAACGGGCAGAACGTCTTCCTCGACCTCTCACTGCAGGTGCGATTGTTCGTCCTTCCGTCCGCACACACACAAAGCCAGCACAAAGAGGACGCATACAATCGTTGATGTGCTCATGGCGGGCTGGTGTTGTTGTGCGGGTCGGTATTGGTGTCAGATATCGTTGCGTCGGGAGGAGTTGCCGCGTCTGTACCTGCAGTGGGGCGAGCACTGGCTGAACTGGGTGGTGGGGTGGACACAGAGGATCATCAAGGACACCACCACACTCTTCGAAGCCTTGGACTTCTTTGAACAACGAGAGACCATTGCTGGTGGGTGCACGCACATGCCTCCCTGCCCCTTTCATGTGCGTGGTGTGTGTGTGTGTGTGTATGTATGTGTGTGGGTGGGTGTGTATGCAGCGACACTGCTGCTGAACATCAAGTCTCAGTTGGAGGGGACGGGCTACTTCATCGTTCACGAGCTGCAGCTGAGAGAGATCGACCTGCAGGACCCCGTAAGTGGCCAACAAGGAGGACAGATGGCACACCCAACCCACAAACCTACACGCCTGCCTGCAAATGGATGAATGTATGTATTGTCAGTTTGAGGATGCCATCCTTGATAAGATCCTCACGCTACAATCGCAGAGAACGGAAGCCAACAACAGAGAGGTGGGCGGGACGGGGTGGGCTGCTGCTGCAGCCGGCGGTCCATGGACCAGCGAGGCTTTCTTGTTGCTGTGTACAGGTGGCCCTGATCCAAGCTGAGATAGAGAAGATCGGCGCCGATGCAGCCGCATTCGCACAAGTCGTCCTGGTAACTTGACGCAGATACACAGCACTCATGTTAGGACGCTCTCCGTCAACCATCCCAGGCCAACGCGACGTCGTTCGGCGACTATCTGGTCAAAGTGCGAGAGGCGGAGGTGCAAAAGTGAGGGAATGAAGACACAGACGAAGAAACTGCTGACGTGTCTCGCTCTTGTCTGTGTGTGTAGGAATGTGACGGAGACCAAGGCGCAGAAATACCAAGAGCTCACTGAGTCCTTTGGATGGAACGACGAACCAGACAAGTAAGTTAAGACTTCCCTCGTGTGAACGCGGCTGGCTGGCTGGCTGTGTGTGTGCAATTTGGTTGGTGCGTTCGCCGTGCGTGTCTCGTTCAGGCTGCGGATATTGCACTACTACATCTGGAGCAACCTCGTCAAGGCGAATGAGGTGAGAGAGGATGCTGCCTTGGATATGTACAGGAATGTGTTCGTCAGTGTGGATCATGATGTTTCCATCTCTACCTGTTTTGTGTGTGGATGGATGGATGGATGGTGTGTGTCCAGGCCAAGTCCTCGCGGAGTGTGGTTGGCATCGACAATGCTGTGCTCGACGTGGCATGAGAGTCTGAAATGGGTGCACTGGACACGTGTGTCGCATGTGATGTGCACGTGTGTGCGAACACAACCGACTTCCCTGAACACAAGATTTGTATGAGATTGGTCCATTATGATTGGTCCAATGGCCTCTCCAACACACACACGTCAGAGCTCAGTTTGCAAATCTCAGCAGAAAATTGTCTCTGGAATATAAAATGTAGGCAGCAATATGCATCCTGCCGACCCACTCACACCCATGGCCCACCTACAAGCACCACAGCAGGGAACCGAGTGCCAGACAGAACCGAGTGAGGACAAGTAGGGCGCCTGCCTGCCTGCCACCCGACTCTGTCTCACCCCTGAAAGACTACCGCACGCCGCCGGGCCGCACACTCGGACGCTGGAGGACGGCGGCTGGGACGTGGGGCTCGTGAGGCGGCCTGGTACGAAGGCGAGGGAGGCTGCAGCCGCTGGACGGGGGCTGGCCCACCGGCAGTCGTGAGCCGTCGCTCGAATTGAGCAGACGGACGGTGTCTCCCAGTCTACAAACACACATACCACATAGAGGAAGCGGCGATGAGAGAGGCAGCTTGAAGGTTTTGACACTCATAAGTCTCACCCGTGGCATTATCGTCGGGATGTCATATGGCGAGCCCGACAGCCGCATCAGCTGAAGCAGAGCACAGAAGAAGTCGGAGTCAAATTGATCGAAAGTGTGTGTTCCCACCTCAGCCGGCACGGGCACATGAGGGCGACGGTGGCGCAAAGGCTGCGTGTTGCCGCCGCCCTGCCGCCCCCCGCCCACTCTGCTGAGCGTTGCAGCCACTCTCTCGGCAGCCTGTCGGGGAAAGCCACGCTGGGCAGGGACACATGCAAGGAAGGGAAGGACACGAAGAGGAGATTGTGTGGTGCAAATGTCTTCTCCTCTCTTGTGGTTGTTCTCTCACAATCGGGTTGGAAACTCGCAGAGTCGTCTGCATATTCACATGGACAGCCAGCCAGCCAAACGCATAATTGACATGAGAGAGACGTACTGTGGTGCTCCTGTCGTCTTACCAAGGCCTTAGTCGTGATCGTAACATTGTTTAGGGCAGCAATCCTGTCGACGGCTTGCAACAGCTCCTGCCTGCCCCCTGTCTCCGCTTCATCAACTTCCACGTCAACCAGCCATTGGCAGAGGACCCCGGCCGCGCCCGGCACACGACAGATGTTATGAAACCGCGGCAGCAAGAGACACAAGTCCTGATCGACACAACAAGAAACCGAAGACGGTCTCTCTCGAATCACCCTCATTCCTCCCTGAGTCTCCACGTCCCTCCGTATCCC